TAGATTTTTGATAAATTACATTCCACGGCAGAGAGATGATGAGGTCAAATTGTCAAGGATTAAAAGTACAGAAATAAAAAATCGCAACTATAATGATATAATAGTTTATATTGATATACGGTTGGAGGTGACTACTTAATATGACGGTAATCTTAAATATCAGATGTGTTAGAGCTCATCAAGACATCAAGTATGTTATAAGCAGGTTAAGCTAACTTAAAGCATTTGCTGATTTTTATGGATTGACTTAAAATGTAGCAGAGTGCTATAGAAGTGTATGTCAAGTTATAACACGAACAATTATGAAATTTGAAAATGCTTGTTTTTGCTTTTTTCGGTAATTTTTAAAAAAAATGCTTATTTCCAATTTTTCTGATTATTTTTGCTTATTTGACCAGTTTTTTTTACATTTTTATAGTTTTCTCCTGCAAAGTCGTTTTTGATAGAATTAAAATTACATATAATTCTTATCTTATCTACGTTGTCATGTAGTTCATCGCAACAAAGACGTTCCAACGCTGAAAATAGAACTGAGTGTAAAATGTCAGAATGATCAAGAACAGAGAAAATAATTTACATTTTATTTTTCAGAAAAATCCTTTAGAAAATCCATAAAATCCTTAAATTTTTGAAAGTGAATATTTATTTTTATATATTTTTATATTTTTTTTAGATACAATTTTATAGTTTTTTTTTTTTTTTTATAAATATTTTTGCTTAATTTTAAATTTTTAAATGCTTATTTTAGTGCTTATAATGATGGTTTTAGGCGTTTATTTTAATGATTTTAAGTGCTATAAGTCCCGAGCCCTGGTTATAAGTTACAACTACTATAATAACCGATACTGAAAACGGCCAACCAACGAGTACGTGAAACGTAATATTTACAAAAAAATAACTATTATACGTAAACGCACGGCGAGGTAAACCTGATATAAATCGCTTTTAAGTAAGCATTATATTACCAGAGTATGTAAAAATTCATTTTTATTGTAGTAACAGTTATGTGACGGAAGAAAATTTAAAATCGGAAGAAAAAAAAATTACATTTAAAATTATGTATCCGTACGTAATTGTATGTACATTCTTATCAATTAAGCACCACGAATATGACAAATATCTTCAAGAACATTTACAAGCAACAAGTGTCTGTATTAATGACAACAATAATGTTCTTATTATATCTGCTGTATATTGTTCACCACAATATAAAGTAGATGAAAAAAAGTGTACTGAATTTCTAGTAAATTCCTTGGACAAGGAGACTATGAAGTAGATGGTACACCTACCTGCACCTACCTGCAGGAAACAATTTAGAGTGGCCAGTGTGGAGAACAATAAATATATTAAGAATAAGGGTTGGGTGATCCGAGGTAAACTAGACAAAATGAAGCCTTATTCCTGAGGAAGGTACACTTTGTGATTGTGGATAGACTCAGACCATGACCCACATAATAAACAGCTAAGCTGTTTAACATCCTGCTCAACGGACATCATGTCAGCGATCAAGGACGGAATAGAAGTTGTTAAGTTTTGGCAAGAAAGAATTTGATACATAACCCAATATCATTATATCACGTTAATTAACTAAGCTAACATCAAATTTATTATTATATTTTATTTATTTATTCATATTTATCATATATTATGTTACCGACTCATATCTGTTAATGCTAATTTTAACTTTAATTTATCAGTCTATTTCATATATTTATATACAAAGTTATTTAGTACGAAAAAAAATTATTACAGTACATTAGGATAAGATTCAATAATCATAAGAAAGAATGGTTCCCGATAGGAAAAATTGTTAAATTGGTGCGTTTACTAAGTACGTTTACTAAGTAGTTAGTATATAGTGTATTGAATTTCTCAAAATTTTTCCTTATAATTGAGATAAACAAACGAAAAATTACTAGACAAATGACAATATTTACGAAAAAATAGTGATTGACTTTTAACAAAACCGAATTTTTTTTCATTGTAACTTAAAAATGGAGCATCGTAGGGACTTGAAATTTTCACTAAATGCTAATATTACTATTCTTTGGAGAAATGATGTAATTTTAAAAATATTTTAGTATTTTTATTTTGTTTCATATTAGATGTTAGAAATGTTATTGTGTTCTTTAATTTTTATGTATAACTGTATTAGTCGCAATTTTTTTTTAAATTAGTCATTTTAGACTCTGACTAATAAATCATTAATAGTTATTGTATTGAAAATGATACAGTATTATCAACAACGACGATGGTATAATATATACCATCCTGATAAATTGTGTATAATATACATACAAATTTATTAACAATTTATGCTTGATATATATTTTTTGTTTGGGTACTTATTATTGGTCATTATGAAGTTAATTTAAAAATAAGTATTATTAACGAAATTAAATATGGTTTATAAATATATACATAAAATTATTAATTTCTTAAGTTTCAAAATATTTAATACTTTTTTATTAAATTATTATTAGTTTTTTTGTTTTCGAGTTATTTTAGAAGCGTATACCCGTAAAATAATATTTTACATTAGGTAACGCCGAAAATCGAAAATCTGTTTATGTGTATATGCCGTATACCCACGTATACGTACCAATACACCCCTGCCTATAACGATATTTTCTTTTTGTAATTCTCATAACTGATAATTTATAAATAAAGCAATCATATTTATTGTATAATAACAATAAAATGCACATACCACGTAAAATATGTATTTATTGTTAATTTATAAAGCCGCGTACACACGAGCGCGCCGAACCTGTAATGCAACGTTGCATGCGCGTTCCACGCGCGGCGCAAAATAATTTTTAATTCACAACAAACACGCGCTGCGCCAACGATCCGCTGCCAACGAGCGCAGTTTGCCGCGAACATTTTCATGCATAGTTCAGACGTTCTTTGATTTAGATTTTTCCCTTCTATATGACGATAGTAAACTTACAATCTTGTCACGACATTCATTTTCAGGGACACCCATCTCCGATGAAATGTCGGCCCATGCATCCGATTTCATATTTTTTTTTATAATAGTTCAGGTCACTAGGGTTCCATAGTACTGGAAATGCCTTATATACCTCAATTAACCTTAGACACTTTTCTTGTGACCACTCCATTATTTATTCAAAAATGCAAATATACAAAACTTACAAGTATACAAATACGAGTACTAGTAATAAGTAAGTTACGAGTTACGACAATGTATTAGTGTCAAATCACGTTGTCAAAGCGGTATGCGCGTTTCAACGATGATAAAAACAATATAAACACGTACACACTGCGCCGAACATTTCCTTTGTGTTCGTTTGAAAAATCGACAAAAATTGGTTCTCTCCGCGCGGTTGCAGTAACATCGCGCGCGTGTTTCAAATACTGTCCACACGAACGAACGCGCCGCGCGTGCAACGTTGCATTACAGGTTCGGCGCGCTCGTGTGTACGCGGCTTTACGTATGTATGGTGTATTACTACTAATGTTTCATCGGTGTTCACCGAAATTAGTTTTGATGAGGTACGCCATACGGGTTCTGTGCTGACAATATCCGACGTATTTTCAGGAAGCATATTTATAAATTATAATTGGTAATGCTTATTTATATTTTATTAGTTGATACATTTATTGCTGTTTTAAACATCCTTTTTATATATATTTTATTTAGATTACATAGTAATTTAAGTCAATTTTACAAAAATAACTATGTTCCAAATCTAATAAACTGATAGTTATAAATATTTTTTGATGGCAATTTCTTTTATGTTTCAATCGTCAATCGTTTTCTGTTATGTTATTCGATATTAATTTTAATCGTTTTTCTTTTCTGTTTTGTTATCTGTTATCGATTTCAATGGCTTTTTGAATAATTTAACGTTATACTTATAACGTTATAAAAACTTTTTGATGCCCTGGTATGGACTCTAAATATCGTTATAAAATGATCCATATTGAAAAAATTTGTAATGTTTATCTCACATATGATCGATTCCTTAAATACGGATTCAGGGGAGGGGGCCATCGCCTCCCTTCCTAACCTTCATCTCCCCCTAAAATACGCCCCTGCACTAATATGTAAGCAATAATTACAAGCCTTCACATAGGAAATAAATTAATAACAGGACAGACTTACTGATTTATCTTTCACCACTTTATTGTAACTTCATTTCACTTAGTAAGCCATTGATACTATCTTTTTTTCATTGTAAAAATTAAAAATAACCCCGGTAGGAATAAAACTATTTTATTCATATTATAATCTTCCATTTTTTATCTTCGTTTTAAAATGTTTGTAAACATTTATATCACTCTCATTCTCGCCAATAAGCGTTGTTGAGAGGACACAACAAAAAAAAAGTGTAAGGTGGATGTAATGATGTACATTATCAAGTTGCACTCTCGAACCTTTGTTACCCCGAAAGCTATTCCTTAAACAAAGAGGAAGGTAATCAACCAAACCTAATTTGTTTTTTGGGTTATTACATTATTATTTATTTTTTCCGGTCTATTGAAGAATACTTAATCCATACGAGACTGGTATATTTACGGTATATTATTTGTGTGTTATAATTTTATAATTTTGCATACACCAACAATATAAACGTGATTGTTACATTATACATCTATATATACATATTATTTAGACTAATGCACGTATAGGTTTAATCAAATAAAAATTAAAAATTAAAATTCATGTATAACTATTTACCTACATTATAAGTCTTAAACTTTGAGTCTTATCGATAATTGTGGGTCAATTGCCCGTGTAGGTCGCAAATTGGACTGTTGCTCTTAATAATTGTAGTTCACAAAATATAAAGCTTTATTTAAAAATTACTATAGATACTCAAACATATATATTTATTTTAAATCAATCCAAATTAAATTTGTTCATTATAATTTATTAATATGATAAAACGGTGTACACAGTACAATTAGATCGTTTACAATTCTCAATTAGATTTTATATTTAAACAAATTTATTTGTATCCATGATTGTATTTAATTTATATGACACATTTGTATTATTTTTTTTCCCAGTTATTTATTCTACAACTATGTACTATTTTTCAGATATTACGACAAAAGCAAGTGACAAAAAAGACATATGCGATTTAATTATAATACTTAATTAGCTATAGCACAAATGAGAGTAGCATTAAATTATACAAATTTGTGAATTCATAGGTATTTTACTGTACCTTTTGCATGAATTAAAATCATAAAATCGAGATTAAGTTTCACCTCAATTAAAGAAAGGGTTAATAAACAAAAAATAAAATGCTTCAAGGACTGAAATCAGACTGATTCCGCGACACAAATTTGTTATTCCAGCAATTTGTCCTTGAAAAGAATTAAAAAAATTATAAATTAGAGCAAGGTTATTATTTAGAATATTATTAAAATCAATTTTCGACTTACCTATGTAGCCTATATTGGTTTCTTCTGCCTTTCTCTTCAAAGGCCATGTGTGATCCCTATTAACTGTCACCTCGATGCTGGCCAATTCATTGCTACACATATGTTATACATAGTACATTAAACGAGCAATAAAGATTTTGTTTGTTAAATCATACATTAATATTTCATCTGATGCATTGATATAGGTTTTATTTTCAAGTTATTTATAATTAAATCAATAATATATTATTTTAATGATTTATATGTTTATATTAAAATAATATGTAAAATTGCACGGTGATATCATTATCAATGTACAAATTCCGCATAAAACATTACAGAACATATTTATGTATGACAAATTTAATATCAGATTACAATAAGTTATAAAATAATTTGTTTTAAAAAAAAAAAAAAAAACAATATAATTAATTTAGTCGAAGATATAAAATTAATATTTTAATTAATTTCATTTCAAGTATTAATATTTTTTTACTTCAGAATGATTATACTTACATGAGTGCATTATTGTCGGATGACTTGTTGAAAAATGATAATGAGTTTTTCACGAAACTGAAATTTTTAGGAATTGTCGAGTACGATAATTCGTAATCAAAATCTGTGCAAGACGGCAAGCATTTGCATGTACGGTGTGCTCTTTGTATTAGAACTTAAAATATCAATTATAAAAAATTAGTTGATTTCTTTGGATTTTAAAAGATGAAAGAAATCTAATTTATTATGGAATCGGATCGTTTTAACGTTTATTCACAATTAATTATTATTTGTAATAGATTATAACATTTTGTTTAAAAATGTCGATAGTTTTCTTTGAGAAATACCATATTTACAACATTCAAACACACACACACACACACACACACACACACTTATACATTGTACTATCTGTGTATGTGTACATAAAATATGAAATTAACCAATGTCTGTGTAAAATGTTTTAACAATTATTGTTGTTTCTATTCGTTATTTAAATTAATATTTGATATATACAGAGTGTTACACATAGGTTTACTTTTTTTTCACAGTGTAAACGAGATACCGCGAGAAGACGGGTTTCATAATTTCCTTTCTGGCTGACCATCGTTAATAATAAAGAATGACAGAGAGTTTTGCTAAGCGAGAAACTATTATAGAATAGTGTTTTTCACCCGTCAATACGATCAAAAAATATAATATATATATACTCGTATATTATTTATTTTTTAAATTTTTATTTAATTTAATTTTCCCGTCCTTCGTTCCTAGTGCTAAAAGAGTTGTTTTCATATTACTTTTTTAACGTATAAGATATTCGAAATCCGATACCATCAAAGTAATCTGTGTAAAATCTTACGTCAAAATGACGATCTCTGTGCAATATATGTTAGTCCCACAAATGGTTGCAAAGTAGTTTAATATAAATCAATTCATGTACCACTATAAATGTTTTCATGTAATTAATTGTGTTCCGATTTCAACGATAATTTAAAAATATTATTTGAACATCTGGCCAATCAGAGGGATGTTAACGAATATTTAAGGAGGCATTAGATAGAATTTCAATGCCATGTTTTGTTATATAAGTTTTATTTGGTAAATATTGTTAAATGTCATGTTTGTTAGTTAAGCTATAAAAAATATTGAAATAAGATATCGAAAAAATAATAACTCTACGTTCTAAATAGAACGGGCACTTTTTGAGAACAAAGAAATAAATAAAAAAAATACACATCATGTTAAAACCAATACAGTTATTGTTTCACTCAGAATCTAAAATGTCATGCCGAATATGATAGAGTATCCACGTTATACAGTATAAGGCAGAAGTTCCCAAACTTATATAGTACGACCCATTTTGGAAATTATTTCAATTTTGACGACCTAAAATAATATCATTAACCTTTTTTTTTTTTTTAGTTTTATATTTATAAAAAAAAGTTTATACTATGAAATTTAATTTTAATTAATTAGTAAGTATATAAATTTAATGTGAAGGATATTATTGTTTCCTATTTTTTCATAACTGCATTGATATCCACTTTTTTATTTTGATTGCAAAGAACTTGTTGTAAACTCCATCATCAATTACTTTTCTTTTTTTAACTGCTGACTCAGATATTATCTCTGTTTCTTCAGTTTTCGCAGAACTTTGAGTCATAAACTCTTTATTTAACCATTTTTCCATAGTAACTGTACAAAAGCACAAAAAAAAAAACGAATTTATTGGTTATTTGAAAAATAGTAAGATTTAAACTGCGTGCATGTATCGTATTCAATGTACCGTTTGTTACTGAAAATAATCAATTTATTTGAACGTCATACAGGTATTAATTTGTTTCAAATATATTGCTATATTTCCAAGGGCACATGTAAAATCCCCTAAAATATTGTAAATTCCCCTAAAAACATTTTGCTACCGTATTACACTAAAGTAAACTCCCATAAAAACATTTTGCTACCGTATTACACTAATGTAAATTCCCCTAAAAACATTTTACTACCGTATTACACTAACGTAAATTCCCCTAATAAAATTAGAACCATTTAGAGTAACTCAGAAGACACCACGTAGAGGTGGTTCTAGTTATTCTCCAAAAATATTCGTATTTTTAATTGCATATATATTTCTTTATTCATATTTTATAATTAGAAAAATATCATATAAATAACCATTATGAGTAAACATTTCACGGTCTCTTATACTTTTTATTGATTTTATTTTGGCTATGAATTACTGGTATTGAATTAAATTTTGTACTTTTTGATGATTGATAATTGAAGAGGTCAGTACAAAAACTATTTTAGTCCATATTCGAAAACTTACGATAAGTATAAATCGAATTGTTGTACCAAACGTATAAAAAATATATTAAATATAGGTATCAGACAATAAATATTATCTTATCTCAATACGTTTAAAATCTTGTTGCAAAACTAGTTTGGGATCTTTTATATAGTAAGCTTAGAATCATATTCTATACAGTACATGTACAATAAAATATTTTTATTAGTTTAAGATTCCTAGGTCTAACTTCTTTCCCTTCCCAGTCAATCATATGCGATTGTCGTTACTTGAAATATATGATTCGATAATAAATGTATAACATCATTTGTGTTTCGTGTGATATTTTAACATAAAATATTTATTTATTATTTATTTTTATTTATTAATTAATAAGTACAGGTATGTCAGAAATTCAATTTATTACCAGTGAACGCGGTCGTTCATTAATTTTGTATAAAATGTATAAATATTATTTTGAACATACATTGATTCAAACTGGAGAAAAGAAGTGGCGTTGTTGTGTTAAGAAATGTTCAGCATTTATAAAAATTTTAGAACCACCAATTATAATATCATCAAGTAATGAATGTCATAAGCACGAATCTTGCAGTGAACAAATGATGCAGCGTCAACAGCTGTCTGCATTAGTAAAAAGAAAAGCATCTGATAATCCTCATGATAAACCAAGTAAAGTTTTAATTCAATGTTTAAATTACCAGTCAACTAGTAAATTAGAAAAAAAAAAAATATGTTAAAAGAAACGCATACAATGCACGCCGTAATATTTTACCTCCTTTACCAACAAATAGAAACTCTGTCCACCAAGCTATTGAGCAACTTAATATAAAAACAATCCAAGACGAAAATTTTGTATTAATAAATGATATACTAGATAATTTAATAATTTTTCCATGTAAATCAAATTTAAGAGCTTTTTGTCAAGCAGAAATTGTTTATCTTGATGGAACATTTGATTTCTGTGCTAAATTTTTTTACCAATTCTTAACTTTTCACGGTTATTTAATTTATTAATAACTATTTAAATAAATATTTAATTTTATTAATAATCATTAATCCGATTGCGTTGTGTTGACACAGTCGAGCATGAGCATATAAAGAAATATTATTGTCTATTGGTCGCAGTAAATTTGTAATTGCCACAAACACAGATAACAGTTAATAATAAAACTAACTAAATAATTTTACATCAACCATAATTAATAGAAATACATGAAAAATATAACGCGACCCACTAAAAATATAATCTCGACCCATATTTGGGTCGCGACCCACAGTTTGGAAACCTCTGGTATAAGGCCCATGCACAACAGGGGGTTTTGGGGGTTACAACTCCATCGTATATTTTTACTAAGAATATACTTAGTCCTCATTCTATAACCGATTTGAAAATGTATACATAATTCTCTATATTTCTTTTAACAGTGTCAATTTTTTCGATTTGATTCCTTTTTCTATTGAACTATAGTGCGTTTTCCACCTTCCATTGTCTATTATCGCTGTAAATGTAGTCTTCGATATAACGCATTTTCACTGACAAATGAGCTGTTCTGACATTTGTTAAAATTTTTTGATTATCGATCAAAATATTTTTTATCATGGATATTCTAAAGCGTACATTTTTATTGACCTCATACCTAACATTATACATATAATTTTAAACCCTACCCTTGGACGATTCCTGCGCATGGGCCTGTACTGTTTACGCGGATTAAATGGCATATAGATATGATATATAATGTATTTCACACACAGCACAAACAAGCACACAATAACCATTTCCCTAACAACCTTTTGGTTGTCAAAGTAAATCTTTACTAGTATATATAACTGTAAGGAGTTTTCTACGACCATGGTAACCGAGAAAATTACTGAACCGATTTGGCTGAAATTTTTTACTGTTATACCTTACGCGTGCTGAAGGTTTTAGTACTTTTGTGAGTAAAATATAAGTATAAAGTTCTTGAAAAATTCAAGAATAAGCCTCTTTTATGTTTCTATTATGTTACAACACTATTTACAATTTTACGGTCGTCAAGGTTACAAACATATATATATTTTTTTTTTAGTTTGATAAAAGATACTTCTTGATACTACTTTTGAAGGTTTATTGGGCATGCTAACGGAGTTAAATTTTAGGTATGCTGCCAATTCATCATCATGCTGAGAGCACCAAGAGCTCGCATTGGCAGTATTGCCAATGCTACTCGAATGTATAACAGAAGGCAACAAGAGAATACACCAGAACGTTCCCAAATACTTGCACAGCAGCAACGTAACGCTTTGAGTCTGAAATTAGCGTTTGATTACCGATTAGATTCATTACCGATTATTTAAATATTCCAACGCTTCAAATAAGACCAACGACTACATTATGTCCAAAGTGCCAAGCAAAAAAATGGAATGATGAGACCTATGGACTTTGCTGCGCTGACAGTAAAGTTGTCTTATACCAATTTAAGGATCCTTCGAACCTAATTAAATTTTTTTTGATTTTTTTTTTTGAGTTTCATATCCAATTACGGTTCCGATTCGATAAAATATAGTACACATATATGATACTATACCATATGCACAAGCACAACGATATTTTTGAGTTATATGTATTACGATAGTTTACCTGCGGCGTTGGCTAAACAACTATTTGATTTTGGTCCGCACACAGGAAGAGAACTGTCTGTTTAGAAAAATAATAAGTACAAAAAAATATATTAATCTTCAATCAACATACTAGTTAATGTAAAACATATACATATAACATCGATAGGTTTCGATACTATATTATAATAGAAGCTTTGAAATGTAAATGTGCGATTAAAAAACGTTTAGTGTGTCGTAATATATAAAATTATAATTGTTAATCAGTTCGTTTAAGTATTTTATACTTATTCTAATGATCGGAGCACAACCGCACAACCTATTTGTGATATTCACTTGACATTCGACGTAGCAGTTAATGTACGAATAAATTTTAGTGTCCTTCAGCCATTTCTCGTTCAAATAATAACATCCTCTTGCTGTAGGGGTCCAATTTTTTAAGTCCACGTCGGTCACTGACAGTTGAGTTACGATTTGCACAAGGCTGTGTGTGTTTTTCGAAATTTTTATAGACGAATGTGAATAATCTGGGACATCCGAAGACGTATGAAAATAAATCTGAAGTAAAAATACTTATAAACGTTTATATAGATATTAAATAGTTTGTAGGCAGATGTGTACGATAGTGTCAACTTCTAGTTAGACTATGTTAGCGAAATCGTTTAGTCATTTAATGTGCGTGTGTTAAAACATTATTTAAGTTCTATGGTGTTAAATATTGTATTTCCGTGTTTCAAAAAAAAAGTTAATTGTCCCTTCAATAGCTGCATTTGAATTTGTATGAAATAGAATAGATGTAAACATGAAGCAGTGTATTGCAATTCAAAGGAAAAAAATAAATGGCTAACAAGTAATACGCTAATAAAAATTCAAAATATTATTTTAAAACAACAAAATTACAAAGGAACTCAAAAATTGTACTTATTTAAATTTAATTTTAGTGTTAAAATTGTATAAATCAATAACAATAATCTATATGCGTTAATCGTTTTACTATTTCTGTATAAAAAATTAACCCGTCTGAACAAATATTTTTAATAATTTAGGAAATCCGGTGAAATGTATTCATTTTTACAGTATCATTAAATTAATCTGTATTTGAATTATACTTATATTATACTTATTATACTAATATTTAGATGTGCAAGTACACATATGAACACAAGCAATTAACATTGAGTAAATCATGTAGCTACAGTATACAATTGTAATATTCTTAACTGTAAACCCATCTTTGTTCGAGCAGCCAATAGATGTATTATTCTGCGCTAAAATAAACTCTACAGAATTCCACTCGTCGATCGATTCAATTTTCCATGGTACGAATGTATCGTTTCTGTAACCATCATCCGAATTCCAGTTGCTCCTTAAATTCGACCATTTTTTACCAATATGAAGTACTTCTTGTCTAATAAAATAATATACTAATTATTTCAATGAATCATAAATTTAAATAAAATACATTTGCAATGCATACATAATACATAAAATGGTACATTATAAATGCGTGCATTAAATATCGAATATAGTTGAGTATTGCAAATTGAAGGGTTATTTCCTTACATTTCACCCTAAGTAAAGACGAGTACGTCTTTACATAAAACACTTTTTTGTACTTGGACATTAAATTATTAAATACATATAAATCCATCTTGTATACAGTGTATCGTACACATACAAATTATCATTTACTTGTGTTTAGTAAATGTTGATCACAATCCAACGTGCAGTCATTGCCAATACACTAGTTTACAAAGAAATTGTGTCAGATTTTTATTTTTCAATAGTAGGAAATTGCAATCGATTGTTTACAGGTTTAAAAAAAATAAATAATTTTGGTCACATGTTTGTTTATTTTTTCTATTATAATATAACTAATATTACGCTGAGTTTAGCTATCGATCTTTATGCCTTATTTAGTTATTACATAATATTAATTAGCCGTAAATAAAATTCATTACTATAGTTGCGATTGTTTACATTATAATAAACATCATATTATCATTATAGAACATCCTGGTGAAATTGATTAAATTTTTTTTGTTTATTTGGGATTGACGTGCAGTGTCGTTTCTTACATTGATAAACAAGAAAAACATATTATAATTATACAACGGAAGCCAAAATTTTTAGGCCGGAGCACAATAAATCCATATTTTTATCCTTCGGTTTAGTTCCAAAATTACCTAATACAGTCAACTCACGGTATAACGAAGTTCGATACAACGAAAATTTCGATATAACGTATAAAACTGTCGGTCCTTTGAAAATTTCGTGATATAACGAAAAATTAAATGTATTTTGGTCTCCTCGATATGACAAAGATTTTTTGGCCTAAGTTCTCACAATGTAACGAATTTTTACAATTTTGGAGATTGATACTACACGATTTCACAGATTTGGCTATCTGTGAAGTTCTCAATGACGATGAGATTTTGAATAAAACTGTTGACGAAAAAGGTAATGACGAAGAAGAATGTTCCGAAGAGACCATCTTAAGCTCGAATGTAGCAAATTTAGATCTCCGGGCAGTCTTAAATTGTTTACAAAGACATGGTATTGACGAAAGTGTATTTTGTAATATTCTAAATTTATACAACACTATTGATCGCGTAAACCCAAGTGGATACACACAAACAAATTACTGATTTTTTAAAAAAATGAATAAGTATGTATTTAATAAACAAAAAAAATATATGTATATATATCTAATAAAATATGTAATAATAATCTAATACGTATGTAGGTATGTAATTATAAAAATCTAATAAAACAAAATATTCTTTTAAATATCGTTCAAACGAATTTTGTTGATTTATGTTTTCGATATAACTTTCGATGTAACGAACTCTTAGCTCGGTCCCTTGAAATTCGTTATACCGCGAGTCGACTGTATTGGCGAAAACGTTTGGACATATAAGCATAACCACATCCTGAAGCGCATGTGTGAATCAGAATACAATCTTGTTTTCGGATGTAATATAAAACGAAAATATGCATATTACAGTGCAACCATGGGTTACTTTTAATCGCGTTTGAACATAGTGTTGATTAATTATCCTAGATCAAATTATATTTCAACGGTTCTATTTTCATTCATGATGGCAAACTTACAATCTATTGGGCACTTGTCTGTACATATCATGATACGGCAAAGCGTTAAAACTGTAACACAAATAGTTCAACAAAAACGTAGGCTGCAGTATTTCACACGGACGGTCGATTATTGTATCTTTCCAACGAATTTGTTTCACTGTGTCCTCGCATTTAACGGTGAATTCCTATATGTGCATAAAGCGGAAAGAGTTACAATATTATTGAGCATATTTTTACGTACTTAATTAAAAAATACAATATATTAAGTACCAAGTAAAAAAAATTTGTATATTGGTTATAATTTTCATATTGTTATTTTTTTTAGAATATGTATTTATTGTGTAAACAATGTACCTACATATTGTAAATGTCATTTTATTAAAAAAATCTATGAAAATGTATTAAATTTAAATTACTATAACTATTCGAAATTTGTTCCATATTTTTCTTGTCATGAATATAATACAGTATTTATTAGTCTTATTCACCTCACAGATACTATTATTGCCGTCTAAATGTTATGGATCAAATACACAGTCACAATAAGATATACCGCATACATATAGATATTTGTTTTTATTATTAATTTAGATGCATTTTACAGTTGCATAAAATACATTTTAATAAGATTATTGACATATTATACAACTGATAAGTTAATATGAGTTAATATGAATATTTTTAACAAAATCAAAATAATCACGTACAACGGTGGTATATGGTGATAATTTATCACACAAGTTTATCACTGATAACGATTATTATTTGAAACAGAACTGACTCGATGAATGAATGTCATATGAATAGCAGTACCAAGGTCATGGATGCGATTTAACTGAAGATCTATACATATGTGTATACTTAACTATGGATATAATTTATAAATGTTAAAAATGATAGAAATTTATCGAAATTACATGAATAAGATGAATTTTTTCGTGTCGGAACTTACACATATACGATCCAATGCTCGTCCACTTCTCCTTAGACCTCTTGTCAGGAGAATCAACGTCCGAGTACCGCAATACAGAATATAATATATATATAAATATGTATATATACTCGCGTCTAATGCGTAACGTTTTTTAAATTTTACAATACTAACAAGATGTTTAGTTAATTACTATATTATATTTTGTGCAATGATCGAAAAATGATTTCAACAGTGAAGAACATAATATTTTTATATTTCGTTATTGACAAGTTCACAAACAGTATAATATAATTTCGCGTTGTAATACCAATGCAACATTTGATTATATAATATTTACTTTAGTTTCGAATAAATATTAACTTTGACGTATTACGATAGTTGAAATTGTTTGCTGTAAGTTTTTTTATACATACTTTTATCACATTAAAGACTATTTCAGGATTGATTTTTTCTAGCTTAAACATTTTATGTTTCCAAGAACACAAGCTGTATATTATGTTCAATGTTTGCCATCTGAAAAAATCGTATAGATCGTTTGAAAAGTATTTTATGACTTGGATCTTACAGTTATGATCGTTTTTTTGTAATATTACAACACTAGTGTAGTGAATATTTAAAGAAAATTTTCATTGGGTGACAAAAAAAAAAAAAAATCCACTCATTTAAACAAAATTAATAAAATCAACAATGTAATGAACCTATAGAATAAAAAAAAATGTGAGTGTTTAATATTCAAATATTAGAAACTCTATTAATACAATCTAAACTTTTAATATACATTTAAACAATGTTCGGAACGTTCAGTTAAAAATTGAACTCGTACACGTTCATGTTCAGTGCATAAAAAAAGGAACTCGTTCACGTTCATGTTAGTTTTTTTAAAGCGTACATGATCATGTTCAAGTTTTTCAAAATACCTTCCAAAATAAAGTTTTAAGAACAATATATGGACCCGTATCTAACAATGTAACCAATTGCTAACGTATAATGAAAAATAGAGAAATAAGGAAAATTATAAAAATACCCGTGATAACAAGTAACATAAAAGGACAAAGGCTAAAATGGTTCGGTCATGTTAAATGGAGAGAAGCGACAACCATAGATTAGTAACTATAAAGGAATAGACCAAGGGGAGGCCAAGAAAACGCCGGATAGATGGCATAAAACAAGACATAGAGAGATTAAATATTACAAATTGGGAAGAGTTGATTAAGGGTCGTGGAAGTTGGAGGGTTTTGACAGAGGCGGAGAAAACTCTTACAGAGTCATGAAGCCATATGAGTATGACGATGAGATAAATTTGAGAACGTCCCAAAAATCGTTCAGATTCATTAAAAATATAAACATTGTTCATGTTCACGTTCAACCTGAAAAAGCGAGTGACGTTTACAAAATATAAATGTGAACACGAGAACGTTATGTTTCAACTTCAAATCATCAAAGGAAACGATAAACAAGTTACAAATTCAAAAATAATGAAAACAGTAATAAATACAATTTTAAAATAATTACAAACCTCTTAATTTTTATCAAAACAACGTTTCCGACCAGTAATTAAATATATCGTTTTATAGTCGACGAAAAATATTTACTAGGCGACTAGTCACCCAGTATATTAGTTAAAATATGCACTGCACTAGTAGATATTTTAATAGCGTTAAGGGTGCCAAATAAACATTGAAAATAATTCGACAGCTATAAATGATAAATATTTTTATTTATTTATTTTTTTTTTTTTTTGGGAGGGTCTGTTATAAAGTGACTATTCGGTATTCGTAAAATGATTGCGAATGTCCGCCAATAGAGTTACCCTACGATATTGCTGATTATACTTGTTCTGCAATAGTTATTCTTTGATTCCCTGATTAATTTGTAGAGCTCTGTTGCAAAAGACTTCACGGGGCTTGTCAATCTTGTAAAATATTTATTTATCAAATTAACAGCACAGACCCTATTTTTCATAAAAATTCGTATTACTCATTTTTTAATGTACAATGATATGACACATAGCCCCTTTACTCTATTTACATATGATTATGATTTTTAGTACAATTTAAGTTATAATTTTTAGTAATAGTTTTTTTCTTTAATCAAATTGCACATTATAATTAGGTAACTTACCACTCTGTAATTATTTTTTAAACTGAAAATGTACTTATGCCTGATATAAATCTGAAAACTATTAATAAATTATTTATTTTAATGTTGGATATATAATAATTATATTATTATTATTATTATATTGATTTATATTATTATTATTATTATTATTTTAAATTATTTAAAATGTAATAGATATATTTAGGTTATAAGTCGTCATCAGTTGCTTAAACTGACTTTCAGAAAAACACCTTCATAGTAATTTTATGTATTAGTATTTAATAGGTACATGCTTCTCGAATCCGCACACTTTCAATTTCGTATTACACACCTTGTGTCCGGTTCACTACAAAATAGAGACTGGAACAACACAATGGTGTTTACCAGAGTTGGGCAAAATTTTATCTAGATAATTATTCGAATAAATATGTATTCGAATAAAAAATTATTCGATTGATTTTTTTACAATTCTTCGAATAAAAATGTATTCGACTAATTTTCAAATACAAATATTCGACTAATTTAGAAACAATATTATTCGAATAAAAATGTATTCGA